TCTGCCCTCCCGCACCATGAGTCCTGTTCTCCCCCTTATTTGTTAAGAGAGAGGTGTTTTCCTGTGTGTGTCCCGCTATATTTATATCTTTGTGTGTAATTGTATTAGCAGAGGGCACGTGCTGTACACTCAGTTTTTTTGTTTGTTGAACTTTCTCTGGTTCTGGTTTTGAGGACAGTTTCTGGCGAAGTGTCCTGGTTTCCTGCAATGGAGGCAGATGATGTGCTGCAGCTGGTCTGATGACATTAGTTGCCTCCTTAGACCTGGTAGGGCTGTGGCAGTAGGCTGTAGTTGTGCAGATGTTGTATTTCTGTCAGGGGTATCAAACAGCTCTGCTCTCCTGGTGCAGGCGTCAATCATCTGAGTGAGACTAGGTGATAGGTCGAGAGGAAGGCTGAGGATAATTTTGCGGCAAGTCTCATTTGCATTGCTCTGAGCCATCTCTTTAACCAGCTCTGTCTGTACCATAGGATCTTGCACCTGTCTTTCAACTTGTGTTCTCAAGCGATCCGCAAACTGTAAAAAACTCTCTGAAGGAAACTGTTTAATGTTAAGATAGCTGCCCTTAGCCTCAGTTATTGGTAATTGATACAATGTTTTTTCTGCAGCATTACAGATTCTATCTAAAACCAACTTAGATAGCACTCAAGTTTGTTTTTCTGGACAGTGCCAGTCACCTGTGCCGCATAGATGATCTATTGTGATAGGGTTACCATCATTATCATTGGCCTCACTGGGTGTTTGTTGTAGTTCTTTTAAAACTGCTGTTAAAGCCAACTTCCATCTATTTTCCCATATCTCATATTCAGAAGGTGTTAGTAAACATTTAAATAAATCAGTAATATCCTTCGGTACAATCTCATTTGAATTAAAAGTTGCCCTCATCATCCCTTTGAAAATCTCGCTTGATCTCCCAAATTCTCTCTGTATTTTACAAATCTCTGTTTTGTCTCTATATGGTAGTGGTTGATAGGTTCTGGTGCCGTTTCTCCTACATAGGTATACAACAGGTGTGGAATTGTGTTATTATATGTTTTACCACATTTGTATTATGTTTAAGTTCGTTCCATGTACCCCCCCGCGCTCTGTAGCGACCCCCCGGGTTTTCCCATCTGTCCCCGCGCTTTGTTTTCCCGAGAAAGTGCAAAGTCACTGTGTTTACGCCTCAGGCCGCCTGTCAGTCACTCGGCATCCCACCCCGGGACGCTGCGGGGTCGGCAGATGACCTAGGACCCTCCACCTGGCCACTCCCCATTGGGTGTACCCCTGCACCCCACTGCCCTCAGACCCCCGTGGCGTTACCCCATTGGCTGCTCCGGGTTTCCCCTGTTCTGTACTTAACCCGCGGGTGGGAGACGCCCCGGGCTTTTCTCTCGGCTGGCCCCTGCGTGCTGCTGCCGCCGCCGCCGCCGCCGCTCCGGGCGGCCCCCCGCAGTTTTTCCGCTCCGCCGCCGCTGCCGCTGCTTCCGCGGCACCTGCGTGAGCCTGCCGCGGCTTTTCTGCTCCGCCGCAGCCCCGCGCGGCCGCCTCTCCTGGCTCTTAGCCAGCTCCGGAGCGCGCCGCCCCGCCCAGCTCGGCAAAGCGGCACAAACAAACTCCGGCACGGCAAACCGCAGTCCCTTCAGTTTTTGCTTTCCCAGCCAAGCTGCAATAAACCGGAATTCTGCCCGCGGGAGAAAAGTCTCTCTCCTTTTATTCGCCGTGGGACTCACCGCTTGCTCTCAGACCCACGTAGCCCCGGCCGACGCCCTCGGGGGCTCGGTGGGAAAGACAGAAACTGCCCGCGCTCCCCTCCCCCCACGGAGCTAGCTGGGAAAGGGGGAAAAAGAGAGCACCTCAGCAAACAGGTGCTACAGATGGCATTAATTCATTTCCAGTGTCCATAGAGGCAGGAGTTTTTTCCCCCCTCACTCCTTGGGTCCCAGTGAGAAGCAGGTCGACTCCCCTCTCCCGGGCTGCGGGTGCCCCACGGGCTGCGGGTGCCGTGGGGCACTGCCCCACCGGTGCTGTGGGCTGGACTCGGCTACCCCCCTCTCCCCCCCCGGAACATTCCGGGGTGGGAGCTGTGCAGGGACCGGCAACCCGGAGGGAACTGTTGATAAGGGTGGGGGAGCAGTGCTGCTGGAGGCTGGAAAGTGAAATAAACAGGGTCTATGCCTTTAATAATATTCAGCTCTTTATTAAAAGTCAGCTCCGCAGGGGTCCCAGGGGCACGCTGGTAGCTGGAGGTGAAGAGGTGTGCAGTCCGTATCTGGAGTCTCAGCACACCGTCCTCTTTTCTTTCCCTCCTGGTAGCACCAGGCAGTGTGTGTCTGCTTTGCCCCTGCTTCCCACAGCCCAGTCCAGTCTGGCCCTCTGCAGGTTATGGCGACAGGTTAAACACAGACTAGAGATGGGGTTCCCTTTTCCCTAAGAAGCACACCCATCCAGCCCCCTCCACTGTGCCCATCTTTTCCATTTAGGGGTGTTTTTCATCCCCAAAACCCCCTCCCATGATTCCACTGGATTATTTTGCATCCCAGTCCTAGAATGGTAGTGAGGGTGGGGGGAGGTAGGTGATTCCCAGGAACAATTAGCTAATTAACATTTCAATGTCAGTACTTAGCCCAAGCCAAGTGTCCCAGCCAGGCTGTTTTGTTCATAACACTTTTGAGACCCCTTAAATAAAGGCTCCAGCTCCTGCTTGGGATTTTAGCAAACCCACATTGGGGGCCAATTGATGCGCCTACCTATCTCAGCCCCTAAATTATTAGGCTAGCCCAGAGATATGAGGCCTTGATGGGAGGAACGTCAGGAGATGGGCAAAGATTCAAAAGAAGCTCTATCCCTGATGTGGTTGTCCAGCTTCTTTATTCCATGAGGTGAGGGGGGAAAGAGAGCAAACAGGAAGGGTCATTGCCTTATCTAGGCTCTGGACAGGGAGGGCTCTCTGGCTCTCTGCCAACCCCGTCAGGGCAGGAAGGAAGGACCAGTTATCTGATCAGAGCCACAGGGGTCCCTGGAAATGGGGAAAAGCATAGCCCGAGCACACTGTAAAAAGGTCAAATGTCCTGCCCAGCCTTACACTTGAACTCTTGCCAAGCCCCCCCTGCCCAGCTTTTCTTATTAAGCTTAACCTGCTTGCCTTCCTGCCCGCTTCTTTACTTGCTTACTTACTTGCCTTCTTGGCTTTCTGCTTACTCAGGTTCATGCCTGCCTGCCAGGACATGCTCCCTGCCTGCTGGGATATGCCCTACCTGCCAGGGACATCTCCCCTGCCCGGGACATTCCCCTACCTGCTCGGTTGGGGACTTTTAGTTTTTGTTTGCCAGGGACATCCCACCTGCCCTGCTATCCCATCCTGCCTGCTGGAGACGTGCCCTCTGCCTGGCAGGACTTGCCGCTCCTGCCTGCCAGGACATCCTGCCCCACCTGCCAGGGACATCCCACCGGCCCTTCTGGGGACAATTCCCCTTGCCCTGATTGCCAGGGACTTACTTTATCCCTAGAGAACCTCCACATGCCCAGAGGAGGGACTGCTTTGCCTCTAAGGAGACACCTCAGTCACTCCTCTATTCCATTCACTTGCCCCCCTTATGCGTTGCTAATCTCGGGTCCGGGGGTAGCCAGCAACTCCTGAGGGTCCCTTGAAGCAGGTGGCCGAACTGTCCAGCTGTCCAGGGGTTGTCTTTGGGCATGGCTATCCTGGATGATCCCCCGATTGAAATGAACAGGGCTAATGCCTTTATTAATGTTCAGCTCTTTATTAAAAAGATCAACTGGACAGGGGGGCAGACACGGAGCTCACCCCCACTGATGTAGCTTTTTCCAGGTAGATGAAGGGGGAGGGAGGAGGCGTGCAGAGTCTGTTGCTGAAGTCCCAAGCAGCAGCTGTCCCCCCCCTTTCCTCGTGGTAATGCCAGGAAAATTTGCCTCATTGTTCCTGCTTCCCGCAGCCCACTCCAGTCTAGTCTTCCGTAGGTGATGGTGACAGGTCAAACGTCGATCAGGGGATGTGTTTGCCTCTTCCTCAGCCAGCACACCTGTCCAGCCCCCTCAACTGTGTTTAGTTCTCCATTTAGGGGTGTCTTTATCCCCCAAAACACAGTCCCATGGTTCCACGGGTTCACCTATTTGCATCTTAGTCCTAGAATGGCAGCGGGGGGGGGGGGGGGGGGGGGGGGAGGGGATCTCCAGGTAGATTAGAGAAAACAAACAGAGCAATTACCTAATTAACATTTCAATATCAGTACTCAGTAGTGGTCCTAGTATTGCCATGGGAACCAGGAAGGCTCTTTTGTTCATTACACCACTGACAGAGCAGGGAGACAAGGCATGGGGTTTTGGTAAGTTCATCACTGAGATTTTCTTCTGCTACTCTGGGAGAGGACTCCTTCCCCTGCTGCACTATGGGGTCCCTCCCACAGGAGACAGTTCTCTGTGAACTTCTCTGGCATGGGTCTGAAACAGAGTAAAATTTAACAAGGTAGAAAATCCATCTGGATTTAGGTGAAGTGTACTGCATAGTAGCTTGTTAACATAAGTGAAATCTGCTGTTTAGTCTTTTAACTCTGCTGTGCTTGTAAAACTGTCCCAGCCAAGGAGAAAAGAATGTAATCTCCAAGGTGAAGAGATAAGAGGGGCCCCTTGAACTTTGAAATGAAGAAAATAAGAAGTCTGCAGAAATGGACAAAGGTATTAGAGAGTTCTCTGTACAAAGGGCCAACTGTAAATTTAAACTCAAAATCAACAGGATGAATATGCATGAACCTATTATAAGATTATATATATATATAAATTAGTGCAGAATAATAAAAATAATCAGGAATCCCCAAGGGGCGCACATGCCCTTTAAAGGGGATCCCTGCGGCAGGAGAAATCGCGGTGTGTGCCCAGCGCTGAAAAAATTAAAAGTTACCATTCCCTACAAATCTTTTTTAGAATTGTGGGGTTTTAATTTTTCATCCACATGTCATCTGGCGAGCCAGGCAGGATATTTTCTGTCCTCGCAGGGGCAGCCCCTGGAGGGACTCCGCTCTGTCTCGGCTTGCCACCTGCAGAGACAGACAACGACCTGCTGGTGTGCGGATAAACGGTATGTACTGAGAGGGCCCTGGAGAGAGAGATACAGGACTGCTAATAAGTCACTCAAGAGACGTCTGAGTGCCCAGCCTCGTTCCTGTGCCTGCAGGCAGCCTGGCCGATAGGGTGGCTAGGGCGAGCGGAGACGAGTTCACTGTTCCGAGAGAGCGGCCGCTAGCGTCTCTGTGGGTGAGTCGAGTGAACCCAAAGTTTGTGTGCTTGTGGTGTCCGGATACTGTGTGGCTGATGTGTTTGTAGTTGTGTGAGTACGCGGTGAGGGTACCCGTGGCTTGGGGTGAAGAGTGTGAAGTGCTACTCGCGTCTGAAGTGACCGGGTGAAACCCCGGGGGGTTTTTTTGCTGGCCGAGCCGTGGAGAAGTGGGACAAGTAAAGGACATTTGTTGATATGCTGTGTTTAGAGGTGGTGATTTGTGTATTTTAACAGTGGCTAGATGAATTCAGGGAGTTCCTTTGCCCCGGTGGTTTGGACTTGATCCCTGGGAGTTTGTGAACCTTGTAGATTATTGGATAGATAGAGGAGACCAACGAGTTCAATTAAGGGGGCTTTATCAGACTTCAGGTAATAATATTATAAGTCTAAACTAGGAACAACCTGCCATAGAAGATTTAGAAGTCCCTAGAGTGACAAACAGAATAGCCTGCCTCTGCGGGCAGTTCCCAGGGGCTTTTAGTGTATCGAGAAGCTAGCACCCTGCATAGGTACTGCCGAAGCTCCTCTCCCCGACGCCATTCCTCTGCCCCGGCTAGCTCTGGGGAGAGGGGCGGGCAGGTTTCTAGCGCTTCCCGCTGGACCCTCGCGGGGCTTTGGGAAGCGCTATCGGAGTTCAAGAGAGCAGTCAGCGACCCCACGGCTAATTACGAAGAGAGTCTTTCTCTGAGGGCGAATTCCGTTTATTGTAATCCAACGGGGAATACAATAATTCGAAGGGGACCAGGCAAGCCGTGCCTGCATTTGCCGGAGAGGCGCGGGCGGGGCGGAACGCCCTGGAGCCAGCCAGAAGAAAGCACGGAACGAACCGCGCAAACCAATTAAATACGGAACGGGGGAAAACCGGGCAGCCAATGGGGTAAAACCGCGGGGGGTTTGAGGGTGGTGGGATACGGGGGTGCATCCAATGAAGGACAGACAGGGGAAGGGTCCCAGGTCCTTTACCAATCACCCGGCGTCCCGGGGGGAAGATTCTAGGTGGATGGGAAGGGACACCGAGTGACAGACAGGCATCTGGGGTAAACAGGGGGATGACTTAGCATTTTTGGGGATAACGGACACGCGGGGAAAGGCGGGAAAACCCAGGGAAAACCGTTACAGAACCGGGGGTACATGGAACAAACCTATACATAATACAAATGTAATAAAACATAAAAAACACAACTCCACAAGGTACTGTTGCAGTGTAAAATTTATAAAAGACACTAGTATTACTGCTCTAGTAGTCGTCAGAGCATATGCCCCAAATATAAATTAAGGGTACCTAATCAAGCTAACTCAGAACCTGAAATCTTAAAGCTTGTGTGCAAAAAACCACATTTGATACCTGCCACCTAAGGTTGTGTGTGGGAGGAAGATTAGGAAAAAACTGTGAAGCTCTGTGAAAAAAGATTTAGGTAGAAACAAGATAGAACAAGGAAAAGGAAGTAATGGGAACTAATCAAAATAAAGAAGTTCCCCGGGCTAGCACCTTGGGGTACATCTTAGCTCACTGGAAGGAAGTCGCCAGTAGGGGCGGCTGGAAAATAAAAAAAAAAAAATTAATTCAATATTGCACATGCTAGTAGCCATTATACAGGTTAGAAGATGGGGCTAAGTGGCCTCCTGCTGAAACTTTAGATTATAATATCTTACTGCAACTAATATTATTCTTAAGACAGGAAAGTAAATGAGATGAAGTTTCGTATGCTGATATATTTTTACTTTAAGAAATCACCCAGAATAGCAGAGAGACTGTGGGCTCAGAGCTCCTTCTGACCCACGGGTGTTAGCTCTCAAAAAAGAAAACAAAGCAAAGAGAGGACAAATCAAATGCTGTTGTTCAGCATGCAATATAGGACAGCAATATATGAGATCAGATAAAGTTTATCATACTAAGGAGCAAGAACAAAATACATTTCATCTGGTAAAAACTCCTTCTAGGAGATGGAGATGGAGGGATGAGAGAGATAATAATCAAGATGAAGAGGATTTCCCAAAAAAAGAGGAAGAGGACTCAAGTGGAAAAGGCACATCCACTCAGATCTATCCCCCTCCTGCCAGCCCAATTTCATCCAGAACTAAGAGGCAGGAAGTGTTACAGGCCCCTCTGTGAGAGGCAGTGGGACCAGAAGGGAAAAAACTAATGATTAAAGTGCCATTCACCACTCTTGACTTAAAAACATGTGAGAGGATTGCTAGAAATTATCATGTTGATCCAATACTCACTGCCAAACATTTACAATATGTTATCAAACAGCACAATCCAAATTGGGCTAACATGCAGTTACTATTAGAGGCTTTTACTGAGACAGAAAAACAGTTAATCTTGAAAACGGCAGGAACTTTGGCAAAAGATTACTGCAAAAGCAAGCAGCTGGATGTAAAAGAATATTTTCCCCTCCAACACCCAAAATGGAACCCTAACATATCAGCAGAAATAAAAAAATTAACTAATTATCAAGAGTGAATAGTAACAGGAGTGAAAAGAGCTATTCCCAAGACCATAAACTAGTCTGCCCTATATTCCCTTAAGCAGGGGCCTTCCGAGACTCCATCTAAATTTCTAGAGCATTTAAGAAATGCAATGCGTCGCCATACATGGTTAGACCTGGGGTCTGAAATATTGGCCAGATATTAGGAAAAAAAATGGAAAAAATTGAAGATTGGCATGATAAATCATTAGACAGTTTATTAAAGGGGGCTCAGAAAGTTTGTGGCCAAAGCCAAACTAAAAGCACGGATTGTGGCAGTCACCATGCGAGAAAACAATTCCAAGAAAAAAACCCAAAAACATACAAGCACTACTCCTAGATATGACAGTTGTAGAGACAGGGGAACAGGAAATAATAAAACCCCAATACAAACCAAGTCTCAGGAGCATTGCAGGAATATCTGTTTTTACTGTAAAGGCAAAGGACATTATAGGAGAAATGTCCGAAATGGGTAAAAAGATCTGAAAATCTTCTGACAGATGGGCTCAGAAGAGGAATAGAGAAGTCATAAGCTCTATATTTTAGGGGACAAATACCATCTGGAGCTGGCAATAACTTTAAAACTGAGTCCCCAAGGAGAAGAATTAGAAGTTGTAGTAGACACAGGGGCAGAAAGAACCTGTCTGTTAAATATTCCAAAAAGGTTATAGTGTGAACAAAGATACTGTAAAGTAACAGGAGCAAAAGGAGAGAGTTTCACAGTTCTGTCATTAAAAATGTGGTAATTGAGGGAGAAACTAAATTTTGGATGGACGATGTCTTATTGGTCCCAGGGGAGGGTAGCAACTTATTGGGACAAAATTTACAAGTGAAATTAGAAATAGGGGTTATCCCAGAAGATGGGAAGATGACAGCTAGAGTTTTAAAATTAGGCCAAGTGGATAAAGAAAAAAAAAAATAACAAGGAAGTTTGGGCTGGGGAAGGAAATAGGGGAGGATGCTTCATGCTGAGCAGATGTCTTCATTGAGCTGTTGATTCAGCTAATTCTTTTCCCTTTGATATGTATAAGTAGTTTAAATTATTTCTTCCAATTTTCATTGTGATTTTTCATCTTGAAATACGTAACTTGCTGTACTCTAAGACTGAAAAACTAGTTTACAGCTGTGACATAGCAAAACCTGCTTTTTATTTTATTTTGAGTCGATGCGAGGCTGTTCAGTCAAGTGGTTCTCAGTGTGTAAAGTTAAACTAAAGGTAACACCAGCTGCTTGGTAGGTCAATGATAAACATTTTTCCTTCTTGCCTGTCCTTTTTCATATACTCAAATGTGTTTTGCTTTCTTGGATTTTATTCTGTTTGTTTGTTAGTTTTTCTGGAAGTGCTAACTATTTGCAGTACACCTGGAACAGCAAGTAGAGTTGTGCATGCATAGCACTTCTGAAAAATAGGGGTCATTTTTTTCCCAGAATTGGAGGTGGCTACATATATAAAAGGGAACCTACAAAGCTAGATGAGGAAAAAGTTTCAGTATCTTCTAATGTAAGCTATTAATTTGTTACTTTCAGCGTCACTGTGGGTGTGTGACACACACATATGAAAAAGATGGTGGGGGGATCTCTGCTTGCTGTAGTTCTATTTCTTGAATGAGTTAGAGAGCTATGAGGAAGTTGTGGGTTCCTTGTTTGGTTTATCCAGGCCTGCAGGGAGAGCTTGGCCATGATTCCCTCTGTGCTGCAGGTAGCGCTGCAGCATGGCATCAGTGGCTTGCCTCTGGTGAGTTGCAGGCAGGGTGCTTCACCACTGCAGTGCTCAGGGGCAGTTTCCTATTTTGACATTAAAGCTCGAATTCAAGAGTGCCTCTTCCCATCCAGTTATTGTTTGTACCACAGGAACCTCTTTGGACAGTGTTTCCTAGCAGTCAAAGAGAAGGTATTACAGAGACAAATTCCTTACTTGCTGCCCCCCCCCCCTGCATTCATATTTTGTCTATTCCCTCTTCAAATTATATATTTGTAAAACTCATGCTGTGTGTCCTCAGATGCCATTTCCAATTCAAACGTTAACTTCGTTGCAAATTGCATTGCACTAACTAGCATTGCCTCCAATTTTTTTTGGTGCAGGCAGGGTCACTTTTGAAGTAAGTTGTTGTTTACCTTGTTCCTGCAACCTTTTCAAGCTTGTGAATAGAAAAAATTGTGATAGCAAAGCAAGTCTTAAGTTTTGGCACTGTGTCAGCTGTGAGTGGCTGGTAGCCTTGGTGGAGGGTGCCGTGAATTGCACGCCTGCAGAACACATGTAACAAACGTAATTTAATTTGTAAAGAAGTTGAAAAAGGGGGAGGGGTGTTTGGCAGACTCACCTCTCCAGGATGTTGGACTAATGTTAGAAAGGGGGTTGATGTTGGAAAGCGGATGTTGAAATGTGAAGAGAGAAAAAATACAGAGAGCAAAGGGGAGAGAAAAATAAGCCTCCAAGGTCCCCTTACCCATAGCTATCTGTAAGTTCTCCTCCATTCCTGCTAGGAAGAGTGACAACAGGGGGGGAGAGGCGAAGGACAGAGTTAAATGCAAGGCTGTGAAAAGAGGGAGAGAGGGAACCCTGCTAGAGATAAGATCAAGGCAGAAATAGCTGACTCTCACAAAGTGGTTTATTTTTTTAAGCAAAATTTCTTTTTGCTTTCTGGTTTTTTGTTGTTAAGAAGAAGAGGCTTTTGTTCTGAAGAATAGGTCTGTAAGACTAAAACAGTTAAATGTTGACCAAAAAGTAAAAAGCAAGGGATGTGATACATCTCGTGTTCAAATTGGCCTGGTCTTTCTTATTTAACTCACAGGAAGAAGAATTGGCCTCTGCAGCTACTAACACAGCTGAATACAAGAAGAGGCAGCTGTAGAAAAAGAATTTAATTAAACCCAGAAAGTTTTGAAGAAAACTAATGGTAAAAGTTAATGCGGTATTGTCTTTCTTTTAACACTGCATTATTAAGAAGTCCATTCCAGGTACTACTAAAAAAGCAGGAAAAGGGTGAATTCATGCCAGCAAAATCAAAAAAGTTGTGAAGTACCTTGAATAATGGACTATCATATTAAAACCGGGTGATACCAAATTGACTTTCAACTGGGACTGGGTGATAAGGGTTTGGGAAGACCCAAATGAACCAAGGAAGGTACAAAGAATAACACCTAACTGAGAAATAAGGCAAAGCTTACATCACTGGTTTCAAGCACTGCCTGAATAAGCCCTGAGATGCCTCCAACACCTCCTTGGGAGAGGAATACTGCCACTTCAAACAGGAGAATCAGTGCCATGGTGTCTGTCCTGGAAATGCTTGCCTGGCTCAGCTGGACACCGAGGTCAGCATGGGCCACCTTCCCAAACCTCGGGAGGTAAGGACGGCAGCTTTGGGTTCGTAATTCCCGAGCCCCAGGGAGACCTTGGCGACAATGACAAAGGCAAGGAGTCATCTCCTGCAGGGGTTTGTAATCCAACTTTATTTTTCAGCTCAGAAGAGCTACCTGGGTTGGAGGGTAAGCTGCCTGCAAGAGCAACAAGCAGCCTCTTGCACAGGCTTATAACAGTGGGTGGTAACCATGGGATGGCCCTACAGTGGGCTAATGAGAGCAAACAGGGGTGTGGAAATCAAGGTGACATACATGAAGGAACACCAATGGGGAAAGAGGGTAGAAGGAGACCTGGCTGTTCGGCCTATCACTCAACGTCCGGGGTGGAACCTTCCAGAAAGAAAGGAAGGGCTGCCGAGTGATGGACGGGTCCAGGGGCGGGGTCCTCAAAAGGGCGACATTTCAGGGTAGGAGGGAAAGGAGGATTGACATAGGGATGGGAGGAGGCAAAGGAGGGCAGGACCACTTACATGGGGGTGCAGGACTAAACCACTTAACAAACTGAACAAACTCAATAACACAATGCAACAAATCAGGACTATTTTAATCAAAGAGTTCTTATATTCTTGTCTTAATCTGGGGGGTCCTAGGAATGTCAATTCTGGCTCCCCACTGGGCCATCAGATCTCCTCCCCACAAGGGTTCCGTATAATCTAATACAAATGGGCATACTGAGGCCAATTGCTCATCCAGCCCCTCAATTTGTATAACACTCCTAGACTGTTTGGCCAATTGAATGCCCTCTATACCCTGGACACATCCGGCCACATTCTGCAATTCCCAATGTGATGGCCATTCCTGTAGGTCTCAGATTCAGTCAAAGAAAGAAATTGAGAGTTTCTAGCCAGTCAAAAGCCTGGGAAAGAGATGGCAAGGAATGTAAATAATTCTTTATCTCTCTTGTTCTCACATTGTTTATAGTTAAGTTCTATCACTGTGCGTCAAGCACTCTGAACCAATGTTGTAGGTTGTTTTCACTTTAGGACCAATGGATTTAACCTTTGCGAAGCTCTGTATAAAAGAGCAGTGTATTTTGAATAAATCGGAGCTTCACTCTCACAGCCTTCTGAATCAGAGTCTTCTCATTCCCGTCCTGCCTCGACAGCGACAGTATGAGATATATTAATATGCAACAGGCTATTGCTTTTAAGGTTATTCCTTTGTTCACAAGGTATGCTTTTCATGACTTAGTGTCTGAGAGCATCCGGACATCTGTAATTCTTTGCTTTTTATTGTCTTGTAATTGTCCTAACTCTAAATTTTATTACTCTAATTGTATTACTATTTTTATAACCATTTTATTATTATTAAGCTTTTAAAATTTTAAAAACCAAGCGATTGGCATTTTTCACACTCTTTTAATTGCAAAACTACATTTACCATACTATTAAAATATTAACATAACACTACTAATTAATATAACAAAAAACATATAGTATTCAATTTAATATTTGCAAAAAGCCAATTATAAGATATGCATTTTTCACAGGCAGTCAGTGTAAGGTATTGAAACAGGGGATTTAAGGGTTAATAAGGAATTTAGAATTATTTCGGGAATCGATATATGAACATATGGTATACATTATTCCACCTGTACGGGGACCCTCTGAAGAAAATCTGTTATCTATTAAAATTATGCTGAGCCTGCAAAAAGAAGGGGGGCCTCTGATGGAAATTGCTGAGCTTCCTAAAAATGCAAAGCAAAAGGGCAACTGCGCATGTGAAGACCTCTGAATTCGAAACTTCAATAGTGAGGAAGACTATGGAAGCTTCGTCCCACTGGACCCCAGCCTCATTTCTGAGACCACTGACTCAATAAAAGAACGAACTACGCAGTCACAGCTAATTTCCATACCATGCAGAGAATAGGCAGAAGAATTATTGAATATGTATAGGCACTATAGAATATGCATGACTTTTGTGAATAAATAAGGGGATTGGGGAAGCTGGGGTACACAGGATTTGGGAAGGTTCTACCCCCCCTGTGTCCAGCGCTGAATAAAATACGCACCTACTTTACAACTCTTGGTTGTGGAGTTATTACCACGAATCAGTTCCACATGGAGCAGCGGTGTGTGCAGCGCTCAGGGCAGTGGGCTTCCAGTGTGCACTCCTCATGATGGCTTCCAGAGCTTACCGGCCAAGGCTTATGGGTAAGTTCTACCACTTAGCGGCAGCGACCGGGGAGTGTAATGAATAGGGCTTATGCAGCTTTTTCCCAGTAGCCAAAGGGGAAGAAGGCGTGCAGAGTCTTTCCCTGAAGTCTTCATGGCACACTGGTAGCCGGAGGTGAAGAGGTGTGCAGTCTGTATCTTAAGTCCCGATCAGCAGACCATCCTTTCTCCTTTCCTGCTGGCACACTGGTAGCCGCAGGGTGAGGGGATGTGCAGAGTTTGTTGCTAAAGTTCAGCGGCAGCTATCCCCTCTCCTTCCCTGCTGGTAACACCAGGAAGAGCTGCTTCTTTGTTTCTGCTTCTCACAGCCCAGCCCAGTCCAGTCCTCTGGAGGCTATGGTGACAGGTCAAACACAGACTAGGGATGGGGTTCCCTCTTCCCCAACCAGCACACCCATCCAGCCCCCTCCACTGTGTCCAGACTTCCATTTAGGGGTGTTTTCATTCCCAAAACCCCCTCCCATGATTCCACTGGTCCCTCTATTTTGCATCCCAGTCCTAGAATAGCAATGTGGGTGGGGGGTGTAGGTGATACCCAGGAGCAATTAGCTAATTAACATTTCAATATCAGTACTTAGCTCAATTCAGCAGTGTCCCCATGAGAACCAGGAAGGCCCTTTTGTTCATAACAGGGAGCACTGGGCACAGGGGTGTCTGGACTAGCCCACTGGTGCAGGGCTTCCCGGCTGGGGGGACCGCAGGGGCTGTGCACTCGTGCTTGCCCGCGATGGCTTGGGGACACCAAACGTTAGAGCCCAGTGAGGCTGACCCGACACGTCTATCCCTAGCAGCCCCCAAATCACCAGACTAGCTCAGATATACGGGGGGCCTTGAGGGAAGGCAGATCAGGAGTTGGGCAAAGATTCCAAAGAGGCTTCAAATCCTCCGATGTGGTTAAGCTATTTATTCCATGAGATGAAGGGGGAAAAAGAGAGAACCCAGAGGGGACAGAGCCTTATCTAGGCTCAGGAAAGGGAGGGCTCTTTGGCCCTCCGCCAACCCCGTTGGGGCAGGAAGGAGAGGATCATACTATTAGATCCCAGTTACAGGGGTCCCAGTGGGGAGGGAACAACCATTGCCTGAGAGCAATGCAACACTGACCCAATAGTGAGATGCCTGAGGGTGGGGGAGGCCACCGCTGGGGAGACCACCACTCAGACAAAACCGAGTATGTGGGGTTTTCTGAGCAAGGAACATGGGGAGGAGGTAGGCGGGGTTTCCCAACCCACCACAGTGGGGGCAGGCCAGGGAGTATAGTCTGCATAAAGTAGCGCTTGCAGTCGCGCCAGGTGCAGTAAGTTCCCAGTGCGTGCTAACCCAGCAAGGGTGGGGGGAGGCAGCAGAAGCCAAGCGCGGTGATGCAACCGATCCCAGAGGGCTGTGCGGTGTCGCCCTGATTCTTAAGTTTTTCTAAAGCCTTCTGAGTTTACATTCTGTTGGAAAACTTTCGCACACAATTTCTGTAAATAACATATTGTTTTGCATTCCTTCATGGGGGTGGAGAAACTTGATGTACTAGTGGTTTGTCCAATGTCTTTGGAGAGGTGGCTCATTCACTCTCCAATCCACTGTCACCTTTGGAAAAGTATAAAAGTTGGAGTCAGAAAATAAACTTCCTCTTTTACCTTGCAAAATAGCAGGTGGCTCGCGTTGTGCTTTCTCGTGTCCTATAGCGACAGTGCAGAGTCTCCCAGGTGAAGGAGGTGAGAGACCCATGGCTAGTGGGATGTGAATGAAAGAAGTGTTTCCCAGGCGGCGGCCATGGGCAGCAGCAGTGGCGGCACTGGGCGCGATTTGCACGCAGCACTGCCGAGAGTAAGAGGCTGGCTTAACTGTGCCAGGGGTGTCAGAGACTGTGGAAGTCACTGACCCAGCGGCAACACGAGGTACAGTTTGCATAAAAAGCTGTGGGAGGGTGGCAGGATCTCCTGGTTAGGCATGGGCTACTCCGCAGCCCAGACACAGGCGGGTGCGGGAATGCCGAGGTGCCACATAGCCAGTTTTTCAGCAGTCGTCCCACGCTAACAAGCTAAAAAGGCATTAGAAAGGAGGAGAGGATGGTGGCTTAGAGACATGGGAACACAGTTGCTCATGGCCCAACGGGCGATCGGTGCGTCTTAGTGGGGTGCTGAGAACTGTGGGCTCACCTGTACAGGACTGCTTGCAGTGATTCAGGAGTTCTGGTAGCACTGGCACCCGGCAGGGCTAGCCCAGGAGTGCTGGGCTGCAGAGACTCCCCTATAGTGTCCGTCGGCATGGAGCTGCGCGACCATAGGAGACCACGTAAACAGCTCGGCAGTTGCTTGCACTAGTGTGACAATGTTATAAATACATATAATGTTGTTGACTTTTCACAA